TTGTTTCTCAGTCACTCGGTTCTCCAAGCAGTTCTGGTTGGTAGAGCTGAAGGAGCGAATCAGTGCCTGGGAAACCCATATGGCCCTCATTTTGCGTCCTCCTCATCGGCTGGAGTCACCTCCCCTTGACGGGTCTAGTGTAGATGAACTATCTCAACTTTTGTTTGGAATCTCTCCATTTCTGAAGGACTATTTGTGGTTGATGGTGTTTATCTTTAAGCACTTTGAAATATCAAGTCACTCTCTCCTGGCCTGCACAGAAAAATCTGCTGATAACCTTAGGGGATTCTTTTTTTTTTTATCCTCACCCGAGGATATTTTTCCATTTTTTGTACAGATAGAGTGGGAGGGAGAGAGAGGAAGGGAGAGAGAGAGAGAAACATCGACGTGAAGGGACACATCGAGTGGCTGCCACCCACATGACCAACCAGGGCCGGGGACAAACTGCAACCGAAGTACGTGCCCTTAGCGGGAATCGAACCCGGGTCTCTCCGGACCGCAGGCCAACGCTCTAACCGCTGAGCCAAACTGGCCAGGGCTAGGGGATTCTTTTGTATGTGACAAATTGTTTTTATCTTGCTTCTTTGAAAGAACAGGTTCCTCTTTGTCTTTGAGTTTTAACGTTTTGATTATGTGCCTTGGAGTAATCTTTGGGTTGATCTTGCTAAGAGGTTTTTGAGCTTACTATTCCTGGATATCCATAATTCTCCCAAGATCTGGTAAATTTTCAGCTATTATTATTTTTTAACAAATTAGTATTTCTTTTTTATTTTAAAGTTTGTTTTATTTATTTATTTACTTACTTATTTATTTATTTATTTATTTATTTATTTATTTATTTATTTATTTATTTTTGTATGTGCTCCTAGTGGGAACCGAACCCACAACTCTCTGGTCTGCAGGCCGATGCTCCAACTGCTGAGCCAAACTGGCCAGGGCACAAATTAGTATTTCTTTAAGTAAATCTTCTCTCCCTTTTCCTCTCACTTCTTCTGGGACAGCCATGATGCAAATGTTCATGTGTTTGGTAGTGTCCCATAATTCACATACGCTTTCTTCACTCTTTTTAGTCTCTTTTCTTTTTGTTCTTATAACTGATCTAATTTCAAATGGTCTGCTCCAAGTTCTCTGATTCTTCTGCATGATCAAGTCTGTTGTTGAATCTCTCTTGAATTTTTCAGTTGTCATATTATTCAGCTCCAGTAGTTCTGTTTGGTTCTTTTTATGGTTTCTATTTCTTTGTTAAACTTCTAATTTTGTTCATGTGTTGTTTTCTTCATTCCATTTAGTTGTCTATCTTTGTTCTCTTGGATTTCATTAAGTTTCTTTACGTGATTATTTTAAATTCATTGTCAGGCAAATCATAGTTGTTAAGCAAATCATAGTTTTCCATTTCTTTAGGGTTAGTTAGAGGAACAATATTAGTTTCCTTTGGTGATGTGATAGTTGCCTGATTTGCATGATACATGTAACTTTGCCTTAGTGTCTGTGCATTTGAAGGAACAAACAACTCTTTATAGACTGGTTTCAGCAGGTAAAGACCTGCTGTAGGTTCCTCTGGCTGATGTGATTGCCTATGGATTGAAGTCATGCTTGTCTGGAGCTGTTATGAGGCTGTTGCTGGGTCTGTGGTGATATCCATGGTTGGTGGGCTTGTTACTAGGGGCTTTGGCTGTTATGGATCCTATCTGGTCTCTTGGTAGTTGGGACTGATTGACTCCAGTACATTGTTCAGTAGGGTGTGGTTGGGACAGGAGTCTGCTTTAGTGTCCACAGTTGGGTTCCAGAGTGTGGGCCTATTACCAGATGTGCAGATGAATGTGGCTCCCTTCAGGTCCTTGGGGGGGGGGGGGTTCCTGTCTAGTCCCTGGCTTTTTCCCTTGATGGGCTGGAACTGAGCCCCAGAGTTGTTTTGGGTTTAGCCGAGATTGAAATCTGTAGACCTGGCTCTGGAGGCTGGGATGGACATATCTCCGGGTATCTCCCTTGGTGGAATGGACTGCTCCCTAACTTAGAGAGGCTGGAGTTGTTTCAGGATCTCCTGAAGTACAGACATGAGTGTCTCCCACCAGGTCCCTATGCTGGCAGTATTGCTGTGGACTGTGGCTGAGGGACTGGAGCTGAGTATTGGACCCTTTCAGGATCCCCGGGTGCTCAGTTGGGAATGTATCTACTGGGTCCCTGTAGCAGCAGGGCTGTTTGTGGACTGCAGCTAGGATGGGTTGGAATCCAGTTACAGGGTCCTTTCAGAATCTATAGTCTGACAGGTTACCTCCAGTGGCTTCTGGGCCATAGCTTTATCTGGTTCATAGGTAGCTTCAGTGTCCACAGCTAGAACTGAGGTCTTTATGCTTGTTACCCAAAGAATAGGTGGATATGACTCCTCTCCATTCTCTTGATGTATGTATGGTGTTGGAGACAGGACCAAGTTAAATTGGATTGTAGCCAAGTCCTGAGGGGTATGAAGGTGTTTGAGTCTGTAACCGGGACCATGGTCAGTGAGTCAGTTGCCTAGATACAGGCCTGTGTTCTCAAAACAGTTCACCTTGGTCTTGGACTACTAAAGAATCTTATAATCTTCTAGCTGGATCTTAAACCTCCCACAAAGGCACTTTTAGTTTACGGGGGGGATACAGGTGGGAGACCTGTTATTTGGCAGTCTTGCTGACGTCACGCTCCTTCATCCTCCTTAAGAAGTCTCTTGACTTCCCAGATATCACATTCTTGGTTTTTCCTTGGTTGATCATGAAGAGTCTCCTTTGGTGACTATTCCTTTTTCAAATATCTAAATGATGGAATACCTCTCAATGTTCAGGCCAAGTTTATGTCTCCATTTCCTGAGTCTCAGGCTATCTTGTACAATTATTTATTTAAATATTTACTTAGCTATAACATTTTCTCTTGTCCCTCATCTGTCAAATTTGCTCCTTCTCTGGTCTTCGCCATCTCTGTTAATAGCACTCGTTTGCGAAGGTCAAAAGTTGACTCAGAGCCCTGGCTGGTGTGACTCAGTTGGTTGAGCATCGTCCCACACACTGAAGGATTGCTGGTTCAATTCCCAGTCAGGGCACATGCACAGGTTGTGGGCTTGATCCCTGGTAGGGGCTGTGCAGGAGGCAGCCAGTCATTGTTTTGCTCTCATATCAGTGTTTCTCTCTCTCTCTCTCTCTCTCCCTCCTTACCTTTCCCTCTAAAAATCGATAAAAATACTTAAAAAAAAAATTTGACTCAGAAAACTGCCCTGCCTGGTGTGGCTCAGTTGGTTAGAGTGTCAACCTGTGCACCAAAGGGTCATGGGTTCAATTTATGATAAGGGCACATACCCAGGTTGTGGGTTCAATTCCCAGTTGGGGTACATACAGGAAGTGACCAATTGGTGTTTCTCTAATAATGTCCCTAATTTTACTAATTTTCTCCATCTCCACCCCTAACAACCTTATCCAATTCGCCATTGTCTTCTATTATAATATTTTAACAGGTCTCCCTGTTTCCAGTTTACCTCGTTAAAGTTTATTACCAAGCTGCCAGAATCATCTTTTGAAAAAAGAAGTCAGGTTTTATAAGCCCCTACTTAAAACCCTCCTAGAATATTCTGGCAAACTTAGAATACAATTCAAACTTCTCGCAATGTCCTACATACTCTGGGCATTATCCTCCTTTCTGACTTTGACCACCTTCTTTCTGTTTCTTTTTTTATAATTTTTAAAAATCTTTATTATTGTAAGTATTACAGATGTTTCTCCCCTTTTCCCCCATTGATACCCTCCTTCCTGCTCCCACCCCCTTCTTCGCTTCCCCACACTATTGTCTGTGTCCTTTAGTTATGCATATGTACATATAAGTGCTTTGGAATATATCAAACTTTCCTCTTTTTTTTTTTTTTTTTAGAGACTTAAAACAGCACAGATTTATTAGCTCCCATTTTGCCTAGATCAAGAGTCCAGGCATGGCTTAACTGGGTCCCCCGTTCAGGGTCTTAAAAGGCTACAAACAAGGTGTTGGCCGAGCTGCATTTCTTTCTGGGGTACAGTGTCATTTTCCATCTCATTTGTTTTTTGGCATAATTCTATTCAAGATAACTCTCTGGTTGTGACTTTGGGTGACTTAAAGAATGGTTGGTCACACCATTGAGATGAGTAGAAAAGCCAGACAAGAGCACAGTACACATTGTAGCCATGGTATATTTATATGTCTATTATAATAGTTTTCCAGCAGATGGCAGTCAAGTGTCTTGAATTGTGTCTTTGTAATTTCCATAAAGTGCTTTATTGGCTAGCACTGATCCTGTTATCAGAAAATGCTTCTCTGATTACCTTATCTAAATTGTCTTCCTGCCTCCTCCTTTGTTTTAATCACCTTACACTGCTTTGTTTTCTTCAGAACATCTGTCACTGTCTGAAATCATATGACTGTTTACTTTCTTAACCATATTTGTTTATCTTTTGACATATTTTGTGGGAACTACCCTTCAGTTTATACTTCCTGTTGTTGCTTGTTATTCTCTCTGCTTCATCTGTTCATCTCTTTGGATTCTTTTCCTTTAAGTCAGAGCTCTAAAGCCACTTTCTCCGTGAAGTCTTTGTTGATTTCCCCAACTTCCCTGGATGAAGTGAGATAATTTCTCACTTCTGAATTTGTGTAGCACACTGGTTTATAAAAATGACTGTACTTATTATAACTGATGATGAAATCCTTTGGAATAATTTGGGGAATTTAAAAAATATGCAGACTCCTAAGCCCATCTCTATTCTTATTAAGTAGGTCTGGAATATAGCCTGGCAAGTGGAAGTGGTATTTTTTTTAAAAAGTACAGCATATTATTACACTTAAATTTGGTCCTGATCAAATTTAAACTTTTGTGGGAGTTACAGGTAATAGGTATGTCTAGCTCATCTCTTACCAGTGTATAAGCAGCATGAGAGTAAAGATTGTGTCATAGACATTTACTACATACTTTTGTATTTGTAGAATTTAACATTGGTACATGTCTTTTCAAATAGTTGTTCATTTTGGACCTGGAGAAAGTTCTTCAGAAGATGCAGTCATGATGAATACACCTGTGGTTAAAGCTGCCTTGGAAATGGGCTTCAGTAGAAGACTGGTAAAACAGATAGTTCAGAGTAAAATTCTAACAACTAGAGAGAATTACAAAACAGTTAATGATATTGTGTCAGCACTTCTTAATGCTGAAGATGAAAACAGACAAGAGGAAAAAGACAGACAAACTGAAGAAATGGCATCAGGTATTTGGGAATATTAGTAAACTGCATTATTTCTCAGTGGGGCTCATAGGATTGTCTCACATGTCAGAGCTGTTAGCACCCTCGTATATCCACCAGCTGCTGATAGCAGCCTCCAAACCCACATCTCTTTCACTGTGAACAGTGGACTACACTACTTGAGAACTATTAATTATAGTTTTTTTTCTATGTTTATTTTTCCAGTAAGATTCTCTGATATATGCTAATCAGATGATGTTAGCATAACTCTTCTTGATTTCTAGTTACTTCTTATAATAAATTTAAGTTGTTCTAAAAAAGCAAGATTTTAAAGTTGAATGCAAGTCTTATTTCTCTCTGTTTTAAAGTTCTTTCAAATCCCATTCTTAATATGGCATTTGACTCTGTAGTCCTTGTAAGTGATCATTCTACAAAAAAATAAAACTGATGATGAAATCCTAGAGCTTAGTGAGAAGCCCCTATCCACCCAAAGGTAGGGAAGTGATTTTGGTATTTATCCAGATTATAAGTCTCAGACTCCCAAATATGTCTTTTGGGTAGTCATTCCTTCAACAAATGCTTCTTAAACATGAACACCTGTGTTAGTCATGGTGCTTGTTTTTAAGGAGCTTAGAGACCAGCTGTGGAGATTTGTATGCAAAACATAGGGTTAAAGAGCTAGCAGAGGTGAGGGTTGTTGCATATATAGTATAAATTGGGGTATTTGGACTAGAAGACACTTTTTTTGCTTATTTCTAAAAAGTAAAAGGGTAAGGAAAATAGACTTCACTTTTCACAACTTCTCATTAAACTTATAAATGTGAAGGTGTAGCTTTTTTTTTTTAAGGCTGAAACAGGCAGTTACATGGTACTTGAGACACTAAAAGAAGGAACTTCTTGAAAAATACCTTAGGAATTCATGCTCATATTCCATACATTTAGGAAATTTAACTGAATTTTATTTTATTTGAGGTTAAAGGAGAAAACGTTTACTTCGGAAAAAAAAGATTAGACGGTTCATATGCAATTTTTAAAAAATTGGTATAAACATAGTCATTTATAAAATAATATCGGTAGCTAACTATGTACCAGATATTATGCTGAATACTTTATATAATTATCTCATTTAACTCTCACAACCTGTTGAGGGAAGTATTATTATCTGTCTTTTACAGATAAGGAAACTGAGGAATCTGGAGATTAAGGCACATAGCTAGAAAGTGACTAGGCCAGCATGGGGATCTATAACTGTCCTGATTTTATAGCACAGACTTTTTTTCTGTTGTTAGTCCTCACTCGAGAACATTTTTTCCATTGATTTTCAGATAGAGTGGGAGGGAGAGAGAAACATTGATGTGTCACAGGGTCAGGGATTGAACCACACCCGAAGTACATGCCATTGACTGGAATCAATCCCGCAACACTTTGGTCCTTGGGCCCACACTCCAACCACTGAGCCAAACCAGCCAGGGCACAGCTCAGACTCTTTAACAATGCAGTACAGCAGTCCCCACTTTATCCACAGGCTGTACGTTTCAAGACCCCCCCAATGTAGCCCTGGCCAGTTTGGCTCAGCGGTTAGAGTGTCGGCCTGCAGTCCAGAGAGACCCGGGTTCGGTTCCCGCTAAGGGCACATACCTCGGTTGCAGTTTGTCTCTGGCCCAGGTTGGGTCGTGTGGGTGGCAACCACTCTATGTGTCCCTTTCATATCGATGTTTCTCTCTCTTCCTCCCACTGTATCTGAACAAAAAATGGAAAAATGTCTTCGGGTGAGGATAAAAAAAAAAAAGACCCCCAGTGCAGATGCCTGAAACTGCAGATGGTGCTGAACTCTATAAGTGTACTGTGTTTTTTCCTACATATGTATGCCTGTAATAAAGTTTAATTTATAAATTAGGCACATAAGAAATTAACATTAATAATAAAATAAAACAATTATAACAATATACTATAATAAAAGTTATGTGAATGACTTTGGGGCCATTATTAAGTAAAATAATGGTTACTTGAACACAAACACTACAATACCATGACAGTCAATTTGATAACCATGTGACTGACATGTGGATAGTGTATACAGTGTGGATACACTGGACAAAGGGATTTTTTACATCCCACCTGAGACAGAGTGAGATTTCATCACACTGCTCAGAATGGTGCATAATTTAAAGCTTATCAATTGTTTATTTCTGCAATTTTCCATTCACTGTTTTTGGACCGTGATTGACTGGATAACTGAAACAGTGGAAAGTGAGACCGCAGATAAAGGAGGACTACAGTACTGCTTCATAAGCATGGAGTTGAAAAGAATACTAGGAGACCTGGGTCTGCAACTGATTCTTTCTGTGACCTTGGACAGGTTCTTACTCTTTTTTGAGTCTTCCTATTTGAAAATGAGAAGCAATTATACCTACATTGTTTAATTGACAGGATCTTTGTGTCAGTTAAGACAATTTATATGAAAGTGCGTATAAAAGTAAAGTAATATATATCTTTTTTAATTAGTATTTTCATTTTCTTTGGATAAATACCCAGAAGTGGAATTGCTGACTCGATTGCTATATCTCCTTTTAATTTTTGAGGAATCTCCATACTGTTTTCCACAGTGGCTGCACTAGTTTGCAGTTCCACCAATAGTACAAAAGGGTAACCTTTTCTCTACATCCTCGCTGACATGTATTCTTTGTTGATATTTTGATAATGGCCATTCTGATAATGGCCATGCTGGTGTGAAGTGGTATCTCATTTTGGTTTTGATTTGCATTTCCCTGATGATTAGTGATGTTGAGCATCTTTTCATATGTCTGTTAGCCATCTGTATGTCTTTGGAGAAATGTCTTTTCACGTTTTCTGCCCATTTTTAGAGGGGTGATCACATTGTAAGGTATAAAAATATCGAATCACTATGTTGTACACCTAAAACTAATATAACCAGTATAAGATTATACACCAATTATACTTAAAATTTAAAAACTTTTAAAAAAGTAAAGTGATATAATGCAAGTAGAAGTTAGTAGTATTAATTTCATGGGGGAAAGTACAGAGTGGGAAATTTTTACTACCCTCTAAAATTCTCTGCTTGTTTTCAACAGAGTAAAGGAAGAGTAGGTTTCTGAGCATATAAATATATTGACTTAAGAAAGGGACACAAACAGAGACTCTGTGTATACACTATTTAATGTTCCTTATCTAAATCTTCTGGTACTTTTTCAGATGAGAGACATTAATTTTCAACAAGTAAATGTGTCCTTCTTTTTCAAGTTCCTATTTATTTAGTGCCTAAACTGCTTGTAGGGTTTGTATGACTGTAGTTGGGGTAGTCTAAAATCTAATGGATTTATTTTTCCTTTTTTTAAAAATGAAGATGATCTGTCATTAATTCGGAAGAATAGAATGGCTCTCTTTCAACAGTTGACTTGTGTGCTTCCCATCCTGGATAATCTTTTAAAGGCCAATATAATCAATCAACAAGAACATGATATAATTAAACAAAAAACACAGATACCTTTACAAGCAAGAGAACTGATTGATACTGTTTTAGTTAAAGGAAATGCTGCAGCCAACATCTTCAAAAACTGTCTAAAAGAAACTGACTCTACATTATATAAGAACTTATTTGGTAAGTGTTTTAGTAAAATTATTTTAGAAATCCTTGGAATTATGTTCATCTTTGTATTTGACAAATAAAATAAATCCAACTAGCAAACGATAGTCTATAATTTAACATGTTCTAAAAAACTGGTCTTTTATTGCCCAAGTAGTATGGTTAAATATTTTCTGATAATATATACTTAGAATCTATGTTCATAGATGGTAGGTAAAACAGGCAGTAGGTTAAATAGTGTTGTATTTGATGGTGATTTTTTTTTTTTTTTGTATGTTTTTCTTTCCTCAGTGGAAAAGAATATGAAGTATATTCCATCAGAAGATGTTTCAGGTAAAACAAAATTAAGACTTAAGACCAACATGAATTATTACTTATATTAGTTTTTTAATGGGAACCAAAGTAGAATTTCAATATCACTGAAGTTTTTTGTTGTTACTAGGTCTGTCACTGGAAGAACAATTAAGGAGGTTGCAAGAAGAAAGAACTTGTAAAGTGTGCATGGACAAAGAAGTTTCTATTGTATTCATTCCTTGTGGTCATCTGGTAGTATGCCAGGAATGTGCCCCTTCTCTAAGAAAATGCCCTATTTGCAGGGGTATAATTAAGGGTACTGTTCGTACATTTCTCTCATAAAAGAAAAGTGGGCTATATGTTAGCTTGTATGTAAAAGTCCTTAAAATATTGTTGAACATTTGAAACCACCTTAAGTAAAAAAGGTATTACTAGTTCTTTAATTAGTAACATTTGTGTACTATCCTGCTTTGTACTAGTAATGTTTAAAAAAATTAAAGTATATCATATTTAGTCTTAATCTCTGTTATATCAAAGGGAAGATTTATGTTTGGTGGGCTGTAGTAGTGTACATGTGTGCACACAGGAGAAATTAAACGAGTAAGTAGTCTCAGTGCCATTATGTATTATTTCAGGAGTGACTGAATTTGGTGTTTTTGAAAGCTTTGAGTACTGCATTAGAGTGTAGTTTAGAGGAACTGAAAACCAGGAGCTCTGGAAGTTATCAAAGTTGTACCAAATTCTTTTTGGTGTTTTTCATTTATATTGTTATTGAGGATATTTTACTGGCAAATAAAGTTTTCCATAATTTGTGACAAACATCTTAATAAAGTTATTTAAAAAGACTATATTATTAAAATTTTTTTGCTTGACTTAAAAAGTAGTTTTTATATGTCTTCAAAGGGTTATAGGGATTAAATGGGATACTATACATAAACACTGTCCCTGTCACATTGCAAGCACTCATATGCTAAGCATTTCGATAAATTAAATCAGATTAAAAATTGAACTCATGAAAGAATTTTTAAAATAATAATATTAATTAAAATTTCTTTAGATAACATTTGTTTAGTTGCTTTGTATAGTATAGATATAATTTGAATTAAAAATGTATGTAAATCTTAAATAAAATTAGATAAATCTGCAGTGGATTTTCAAACTATATTGTAATTGCTTTGTTGCATTGGTATTGATGGGATGAGGAGGTGGAATATAGACAAAGGTAAGTATCTTCTTTGGAGCCCAATCATATTTGACCTTTCCCAGATCTGAGTCTGTGGCAGACTTCTGAGGCCAAGTAGAAAGGAGGTCTAATATTAAAAACTTAATTCTTCTTACCGCACAACTCCTTTAGATGACTTTAAATAGAGACTACACTGGGAAAAGCAAAAATTTATCCTTTAGACTCTTTTCTTGCTGATTCATTTATGTAAGTCCAAATGCACACATCTTAGGTGCAAGACCTCATGTCTGAGGGAAAATTTCTTGTCATTATATAAGGAATGTAAAGACGGAATTAAGCCTTTTAGAAAAAGTTCATTTTTATTTTTGCTTAATAGCCACTGTATATTAGGATCCACTGTGTGTCAGGCACAGTGCTAGATTCTTTAAACAATAAAGATGTGTTATGGTCTGAATTGTGCCCACACAAAATTTGTATGTTGAAACCCTAGTTCCTAGTACCTCAGAATATGACTGTATTTGGAGATAGGGCCTTTAAAGAGGTAATTAAGGTAAAATAAGATTATATGAACCTTAATCCAATATAAATTCTTATAAGAAGAGATTAGGACACAGCCATACTCACAGAGAGGCCCATGTGAAGATGGCCATCAACAAGTTAAGGTGAGAAGCTTCAGAAAAACCCAGATCTTCCAACATCTTAATCTTGGACTTCAAGCCACAAGAACTGTGAGAAAATAAATTTCTGTTGGTTAAGCTACCTAGCCTGGTACTTTGTTATGGCAGCTCTAGCAAACTAATACAGGGTGCTCGATACTTTGGAGCATATCAATTCTACTTCTTTTAATAACTGCAAAGTAAAATGTAAACAGGGACCTACTTGACTCTTTAGATTGTGCTTTTGGGACAATTGTCCTATTAAGCTGTATTAATGTTTTTAAAAATTGCATGGGCTACCATCCAGCATAAGAACAATAACTTTTTGAGTTCTGTTTATTAGAGAATTTATTTTATTTAGTTTTATTGAACTACTCAGTTTTAGTAATGTACAAGAACTTGTGTTTTTTGCACTTAGTAAAAATATTGCATAAAATAGAAGTAAATGGTGATGTAATTGATATGTTATACACTTGCTGAATTCTGTGTATCTAGATTAGAGTGTAGGGTTTGAGTTCCTTATCCTTTTTGACCTCGTGATATTCAGTATAATAGGTATTCATTGTGTTGAACAAATAGTTGACTGTCAGATGTTTTATTAGGTTTGTTTATTGCCTTAACCCTTAACATCCTAGGAGACATGTTATCCCTGTTTTGTATATGTGGGAATTTAGGTTCAGTGAAATTATATAGATTGCTGGAGATAATAGGTGGTAGACTATGAATTGTATATGGTCTAGTTGAGAATGACTCCAAAACACTTACTTTTTAAAGTTTTAATCTGTTAAACTACACCTCAGTTTTTTACTTTCCTACTTATGTTTGGATATAATATTTCTTTATCTTCTTAACATAAGAAGAGGAATTGTGTAATTTATCATTTGTTAGGCCTCTTGTTTTCCCATGATCATTTCCTGTGTTCTGTCTTAAGACAACACAAGAACTGGAGCTAAATAGTTTTCTCTTCTGCTCCATACTAACAAATTAAGAGGCCCTTTTCTTGTTGACTGCCATTCATGAGTCAAAGGACAGCTAGCTGTCTGCTTGAAGACAGATCTAAGTTTTTTCTAGAAGTATAACATTTCAACCAATATCCCTTACTATACTTCAAATAAATCTGTTAGTGTGTAGTAGCAGTTTTTTTTTCTTTTTTTTAATCCTCACTCGAGGATATTTTTCCATTTATCAGATAGAGTGGGAGGAAGGGAGAGAAACATTGATGTGAGAGAGACACATTGACTGGATGCTTCCTGCACGACCCAACCAGGGCCGGGGATGAACTGCAACCAAGGTACATGCCCTTGACTGGAATTGAACCCGTAACATTGGTCCTCTGGCTAAGGCTCTAACCCTTGAGCAATATTGTCCAGGGCCTGTACTAGCAGTTCTTAAACATTTTAATCTCAGACCGATTTTACAGTCCTAAACATTTTTCGAGGACCCCAAAGAGGCTATGTTTATGTGAGTTGTACATATTGATATTTACCATGTTAGAAATTAAATTTTAAAAATATTTATGAACTTACTTAACAAGAAATACATGTTTTAAAAAATATAGCAATACACATTACATGTTAAGGTAACATGAAAAATAGTTATTTAAAATATTTAGTGAGAGGAATGGCCTTGTTTTCACATTTTGGCAAAGCTCTTTGAAGTCTGGCTTAGAAGATATCTGGATTCTCCTCTCTGTTTCTACATCGGGCCTTTTGTAATAAGTATGTTGTTTGAGTTGAAGTATATGAAGAACATTCAGCCTCTCAGTGTATGTATTTGGAAAAGGAAGAATTTTTTACATAATTGTGGATATTCTTTTTTGATGTTACACCAAAACTTGACAAATAGTAGGTAGTTCCTTAAAGGTAGTTTGAGTATAGAATCTAAAATCATATTAATGATCTTAAAATTTTTCATTTAAATTAAGTTTTTAAAAATTATTTTTATATTTTAGAATAATTTTAGGTTCAAACCAAAACTGAGCAGAGAGAGTTCCCCTATACCCTCTGTTCCTACACATGCACATCCTCCCCCACATCAACATCCCTCATCAGAACAGTGCATCTGTTACAATCAATGAACCTACACTGACACATCATTATCACCCAAAGTCAATAGTTTACATTAGTATTCACTCTTGATATTTTGACAGGTATATAATAATGACATGTATTCACCATGGTAATATGCAGAATAGTTGTATTGCCCTAAAAATTCTCTATGCTCCACCCCTTTAACTCTTCCCTCCTAGCTAACCCCTGACAACCACTGATATTTTACTGTTCAGTGATCTCTTTGTTTTCTGTTATATTAAGATCCACTGGTAAATTTTGCACTTGGAATGGGTCTTTTATCCATGCATAATCTTGTACCATCACATGTTGGTCATATGTTACCCATGTATAATCTTGTACTATCACATGTTGTTTACTGAATTGTGCAGATCTTTCCAATGTTGACACATTACTCAGTATCAAAAAAAATCACATTTATTCTTACCATTTATATCATTAGGGAAACTTTTAAGTATTGAGAAGCTCTCAAGCTCATAATGGTGGATATATGTTTCTAAAATTTTAATTTTTGCTGAAAAGCTTTATTTTTATCATCAGCTACAAACACTGTCAATAGTTTTCTCAGACTCACTTCAAGAGAATATCTGCCAAATACTTAAGTTTGTCAGTATTATTTTATCTGAGTTAAAATACATTTGAAAATTGTTTAAATTATAGATGACATTGAATATATTAATTTGAGGTGTATACTGTAGTGGTTAGACATTTATATAACTTAGGAGATGAACCCCAATAACTCTAGTACCCACCTAGTACCATACATCGGATCTGTCAGTATTTTTTTAAATCAATTATTCTTTTATTTTTTTTATTTTTATTTTTTTTTATCCTCACCCGAGGACATTTTTCTATGTTTTGTTCAGGTAGAGTGGGAGGGAGAGGGAGGAACAGAGAGAGAGAGAGAGAAACATCGATGTGAAATGGACACATCGAGTGGCTGCCACCCACACAACCGACCAGGGCCGGGGACAAACTGCAACCGAGGTATGTGCCCTTAGCGGGAACCGAACCCGGGTCTCTCAGGACCGCAGGCCGACGCTCTAACCGCTGAGCCAAACCGGCCAGGGCTCAATTATTCTTTTAAATAAAAATGCTATTTCATGAAAACAGCTGTTTCAGCTTACAGTTCAGTCACACAAGTGCTTTTCTTTAAAACATGGTACTTTTGTATGTAGCATAAGCACCTTATGTATACTTCCAGTTTTGTCATGTGTTAAAATAATGTGTGCCCAAGGTCAGATTTATAAAAATAATTTTACTGCTTCATCAAGAATTATCTCAAGTAAATGATCGAACTTTATACTTAAAGGAACTTGAAAAGTAACGACAAAGCCCAAAGTAAGTAGAAGAAAGGAAATAATAAAGCTCAGAGCATAAATAAACAAAGTAGAATCTAAAAAAACAATGCAAAGATCAATGAAACCAAGATCTGGTTCTTTGAAAAGATAAACAAGGATGACAAGTTTTTGTGTTTTTTTTAGGAATGACAAGTCTTTAACCAGACTCATCAAGAAAAAAAAGAGAGGACACAAAATCAGAAATGAAAGAAAAGTAATAATTGACACCAGAAAAATATAAAGGATTACAGAAAATATTACGAACAGCAATATGCCAACAAATTTGTTGGTCTGGATGAAATGGATAAATTCCTAGAAGCATACCATCTTCTGAAACTGAATCAGGAAGAATCAGAGAATCTGAATAGATAGATTATAACTAGTGAAATTGAAGCAGTAATTTAAAAACTCCCAACAAACGAGTCCTGGACTAAATGGCTTCACAGGTGAATTTTACCAAACATTCCAAGAACTAACACCTATCCTCAAACTATTACAAAAAATTCAAGAGGAAGGAAGACTCCCAAGCTCATTTTATGAGGCCAGCATTATCCTAATTTCAAAACCAGACAGAAACATGGCAAAGGAAATTCTAGG